GTGACTTAAAGGGCACGGCAAGAAGCAAATAATTCTACTTAACCGCTGCGACCGCTGTCATTCTATCAACCGACGCATAGTGGCGTCTGTGCTCTCTCGCGTACGACGTGCTACCTCGGGTTTTCCCAGTTGCAGCGTTGTGTCTCTCCGTCGTACCACGGCCGACCTCGCAAAAAATTTCGGTAATTTTGTGGTGCTTTTTGCTTTTTCCTCTAATTTCTCTTCGCACTTCTTTTCTATTTCCGTACATTCACCAATTTGACCGCGATCGGTGCATTTGATGTGTCTTTGAACACTGTGATCTTTTGAAAAGAATAGATTTCCAGCGATATCATGCCGTGGTTTATGCGAATCCGTGCATGGTAGCAGAGAACTTTGTTGCTAGAAACCTTGAAAACTTGCTGACTGGTAATCACTGACGGCAATCTACCCTCTACTGACTTCGTCTACACGAAAAACGGTCGTTGAATAGGCAGCGTGCGGGCTGGGGTGATTTTCGACTTTTTGCGCGAAATCTTATGGCTCACGAAATCTATGTCACATTTACAATAGCCGAACGTGGAATTACGCTTTAAGTCTCTGTAAAGAAAGAGATAATCAGCCAACTGAAATAAATCGATAAATTTGCTCGAAATATATTCATTGCTTCTGGGGATTTTATTTGCTTTAGATTGATTCAATCTTCTCGAATAGACAAAAATCGGAACTACACCTCTTAGAATCTCGAAGGAAGTGTTGTAATCTTGCTACCTACATTTTACTACGTTGCATGCATTCAAGGCTTTACCAGTGCTCGCCAGAATATGCAGAAACAATTGATTTACTATATTATCACTTCGAAATTTGGAGAGAAATGTTTCAAATGCGATCTCCAAATCGAATAAAAAACTTTATATTTTAGTCAGGCTGATTGATTTTTACCTGAAACTATTGAAAACTACTCCTATTGCCTATTTTCTAGCGGTTATCTAAGTAATTACTATTAAGCATTACTAGTATATCTGCCAGTAATTGCATTTTCGTGCGTGTTGCACGATGTTGTTTCTTACGTTAGCGTCATGCAACGTTGTAAACAGTAAACAGTGGACACTCGCTTCTTCAAAATTGACCATAGTAACCGTTTTTAGTAGTACAAAATAGGAACACTTTTAACAACAAGGAATCAACATAGGGACTAGAGAGCAATTGACAGGTCACACTTATTTTGGGTAGACTATAAATATTCTATTTTTTGTATTCTATGACAACTTCCTTTAATCAGCTTGAGGATGAGACCTACACGTCCTCAAACTCATTGCACTCATCTCTCTCCCTGGTCATAATAGTAAGCATCAGTTCAGCTGTTTAGTCTCACTATTGACCTTACCTAATTTAGCCTCTGTGCACGACTACGTCACTAGTGAGCGTCAGCGTCAGAAATCCATCTCGAGTCCGGAATCCGTTGAACGAATTAATGCTCGTGGTCGACAGGAAACTGAATTTCCGGGTAGGCTCATATGATTTGCATTGCATTGGAAATTTGTAAAAATCTGTTATGTATTCGACCATTAAAACCCGAAAATTTCCAAGAAATTTGTTGAGGTTTCTCCCATAGGAATAATTCGGTCTTCTAAATACAAGGAGAATTTGGCGGTGGCGCTACTCGGCGCCGTTTGACGCTATTTTGCGTCTAGGTGTTTCGATCGTTTTCGCAGAATTTCTGTAAACATATGTGCCTATTCCGGGAGTTCAGTGCCGTGGGAGGCAAAAAAAAACCGGGGAAAACAAGAATGACTGGCTCTTTGGAGTCGCTCCCTTCCTAGGCTTAGGCTTATCGTGAGGACTTTATTGTTAACTGCCTGACATTAATTTGGCTCCAAATTGCTCTGGTGCCAAAAGTTAATGTCATATTTGTTATCAGGTTACCGAAATACTCCATCAGCGAATTGGTTTAAAACGGGTATTGCACCAAATTGGCGTATAATGAAAAATCCCAAAAAATTCCCAAAATTGATGATCGTGTTGGATTAGGGCACAGAATTACCCTGTAGGAGGAATTTCACCTACAGAAAACCTTTAAATCGGGCAGCACTGGCAGTAAGCGCATGACCGTGGAAATATTCAAAAAATACAAATAAATGAATTAAAAATGATCATAAATCAATAAGAATAGCTTAAAGAAAGCTAAAAAAAAGAATAAAATAATTAATTAAATACCAAAATTACAGGATTGGAAAGGGTTAACACAAGTGCCTCACTGATTTTTTTTTATCCGTAACACAAATTAGCTTTCTTGTTCAGGATATTACAAGAACACAGAAACCTGGGATTCCTTCACAGGCCTGCTGTGCACTGCTTTGCCTTCACTTTTTTCATTTCTTTTGGCAGTTTAACCGCAAATGAGCTGTTCTCAGATTGAATCGTTGTACTGACGAATCTCCCTTTACGGCTACCACCCCTTTCACCCCATGATAATATGAATGTTTGAGGGATTTTGAGAAGAACATCTTTCAAGCATGATCAGGGATATAGAAATTCAAAGTTTCTTTTCCAGTGCGAATCGCTTACGTTGGAGGTGAATCGGTACATTCGGTGCCAATAACCCCAGTATCATCGACAACATTCCGTGGCCCTCTGGTCGACAGCCGAGCTTCTACCCGTCTGGCTGAGTCTGTGGTTTCGGAAACGACCACTGTGCAAGAACTGACAACTATCACAACTACAAGGCAAGCACATTTTTGATTATAATCTAAATGCCCTCCTTTTGGCCATCCAAGAAGATTTTGAGAAGAACTCTAAATCTAGGACCACTAGGCTTTCCAGGAGACGCATACCGTGATCAGCCACTTGGTGAAGAATCTTGACGCTTTTGCAGGAACTCGTTTGACTCACTCTATAGACGGTTTTTGGTCGCGCGTGCCGTTTTCCCCCGTCTTCAAGAGTTGCGAGACATTTGTTTGTTGTTGCCCATAAAAACCGACTGCGCCATTCCATGATGATTCGGTCGGGGACTCGAATGAGAACATGGATTTTTCTAGTAAAAATGGTGGTACACTATCTTTGCAAAGTAATCCACAGGAACCATCCGTCCACTGTGGCGCTCTCTCGTTGTCCTAGCGTCGAAAATCCTTCTCTGAATGCCTAAAAACGACAATATTACCATATATTGTGCTCTGCTTGATTCGAAATGCAAATACGAGCCTGTTATTAATCCGTGCCCCCGCACTGGGTCGTGGTTGTACGGAATACTGACTGTGAACCCTGGCAAGTAACTGAGGAGGGCACTTCACATTTTCAATCCGTTTACGCCTCTCCCTGGAAATATTTCCCGTTTCAAGCGCGTTTGCCATCTGTTGAAGAAACTCTTCCATCCACTCTATTCCATTACAAAGCAAATCATTGCCTGTACACACGTATGTACATTCTATGAATCCATGACGAATGTTTACACAACTGTCTGACTCTACTGGTACGGTGATTTTGAGCACGGAGTGGAAGCAGTGTGTTCTCGTTCAGTCCACGTTTCCAATACTTCGCCATCTATGTGTTTCATCAGCAGTGTACGATCTAAAATCATGAAATCGTTGCTAAGATCTACGCATAAACCTTGCCGCATTCACGGAAACACAACTAGCGAATAAATTCACTTGGACCCGTGTTAGTAGGCCACCAAACTGAACTCGAAGCCAACTCCAATTCAGGCCCTCGTCTTCTGTCATGATTGCGCTGTTTAAGCCGTGGAAACCAAAGAAGAAAAGGTGTGTCATACCCTGGTCAGACCTATTCATATTACCCGATACCGTTCAGTATCATGTAACTAGTTGTCAGTCTATCCAGTGAGTCACTACCACCCTCTTTTGAGGCACTTCTTAGATTAGAGGTTGCTGCGGTTGACGCCCACTATCTCACGGTTTTTTTGCGTTCTATTTCGATTTGGTTCTTGTTTACCTACTGATTTCATAAGTTGAACTATTTTGCAAGGAAAAACTGGAGCAACTGCTGCAAATGTTTCTCGGACATTGATTGATGTTGATAATTGAATATCCGAAAAATTAATTTTAATAAAGGCATGTAACCGTCTTCGTTTCGTGCGGTCCCTTTGAAGTAAAATGCCACAGTTAATAGGGCGAGTAGACCGGGAACCAGTGGCATCAAAATCCATTCGAACACGATACAATCCCGATTGGCTGTTTGATATGCGAATGAAAATTGGTGGATAAAGGACGAAATTTCATAATTCAGCGCATCTGTCCACATCCAGAATAGATCGGCTTTCTATTGATTTTTGACTATTTTGAAGAAAATTTTTCGTTTTCGCAGTTTGCATTCACGTATTCTTCGTCCCTGGTTAACATGTCAGTATCATCTTAGCACTTAATTAATTGTTTCGGAACTCTGAGCTGTTTATCTGTATCCTCTTTGATTTTGAGGCTGTTTTTTCTACTACTTAGCATTTAAGTTTTTTTCGAAAGGGTTGAACCCAAAAAATCTGTGCTGCTTAGGCCGTAAACTGATGTAGGACGGATGTTTTCTAGGGATATATTGCTAGATGATTTCAGCCACGGTCGCAGTGTTTCATCTTCGGAAATGCCTGGAGTAACCGAGCTAACACAACGTTTCGAGCGAGGATCACGTGCTGATAGCAGCACTGATACTACACGTACTGGTCAGAGACCATCTCAGCGGGTTGTAGTGGTGTCGAAACCAGGTCCAGGTACGTACTCAAGGCACTAGTCCACAGAGGTTCATAGTAATATTCAATCGCCATAAATGTGAATAGATGTGAAGCCTTCGATTGGCACAGCAGAGTGCGATTCTGCTTACTTATCAATCCTTCAATCTCCTCATGGTCCTGATTGTATACTCCGGTGCGCGGCGCATCCCAGGCGAATCTCGATGAAGCATTTAGCCTTTGCTCGAGTACTGTAATTTCGCAATTCTTGCGTCGGGAGAAGTTCAGCCTTTTATGAAAACGTCACACTCAAATTTCAGTTGCAAGTTGGTGCGTTCTCTAAGCTCGTGGCATCTATCACATCTATCTACAAGTGTATCTATCACGTACTATTTTCGCGAAAGTCAGATGGGGCGGGGGAGGGGGGGGGATGGCTATCCTTCCAGCATTTTCAGATTTATTTGGCTCATTAAATGCTTTGAAATGAGACCTAGCGCTACATCGCTCAAGCATTGTACTTACCCTTGAAATGAGTATGGCAAATGCCCTTGCTTAATGGCATTTACCACACTCCATTAGATTTGATAATTCCGCTAGCAAATTGAAATAGAGGAGTAAAGTAGGCTGACTGTAAAAAAAAAAAAACCACCTTGAAATTCAGTTGAAGACCCTCGTTTCCTAAACTGCTGACGAACCTACGGAAAAGGCAGGCAGTCAAACGTGCAGTGTGCACCGAGGGAAGGAGCCGTCTTGGAAACATGAAAGCACTGCAAACGAGCAGAGCTTAAGAACAGATAATCTGTCGTGTAGATCTTTTCGTCGTGAGCATTACCTGCAGCCTAGTTCAGCATAAGCGAACAAGCTCTAGCGTCATTACCAAGCACTTCTAAGCTTATGGACAGATATACCCCTTCACAGAAGGAATGACCCGCTTGGCCTCAATATGAAATGTGTTCTAAACGCCTCTGTTATGTTGTCAAATTGTGTGCCCTCTTTTCTTTTGTACCCCGTACGCCTGTGAGTCCTCGCGTTACAGAGTTCGTCTATTCTTCATCTGATGATTCGCGAGTGCATCGTATCGATCGTCCGACGTACTCGCCATCGGACCAAAAGTCCGTTTTATCAACAACTGTCGTTGACATTGAACCACCAACCTATCGCACTGTAACTCCTCACTATGTTGAAGAGAGATATCAGGTGGGCCGTTGCTGAAACCTTTAAAATTTTGAACTTACTCGATGTTTCTATTTCAGTTGGAGGAGCAGTACCGTTCCGTGAAATCGTACACGTCACCAACGAAGAAAGAACCGACGTACAAACCAAGGGAAATCATAATTCCAACGGACAAGAAAGCGTCTAAGGTGGTTTCTTCTGAATATGTGGGAAATAACCGTTTCCATCATGGAGTCATTTAAGGAGTCGTACACTGGTCATACGGTGTATTCCACTCGGGAACAGCAACGTGAGCAGGGCGGTGAGGAAACACGCGGTTCTACTCCTGTTCGAAGTGTCGTCGAACAGTTCGAGAGTAAAATTGAAGGTATGATTTACATGTTTGCTCTGTTCACTTCACGCCTATCCTGCCTATGAAACCATGGTAAAGGGCTTGAGGGCCGGTTTTTGATGGGTAATTCTTGAAACGGTTAGGAATCGTAAATTAGAATTGCACGACGTCAAGGAGAGAGACAACTAAGGCGTCGCTGACGTCAATCACTAATAGTTGCCATCCCGTTTACAGTTGGGTTTTACTACAGGATAACCTAAGCAGTTTTTCAGAAGGACGCAGCACACCGGATAGACGCCCATACCAATACAAAGAGAAGTATGAAGAGATGAGCGTTCATGAGCATCGACGACAGCAACCGGATCAACGCGAAAGGGTTGGTTCAGCAGCACATCATTTTCATGAGATTCTAAGCTTAGAAAACCTAGAACCAATTTGCGGTCTATCACATCCTGAAGGCTTCCAGTGGAGTCCTTTTGAAGAATTCGTGGATTAAAAACTGAAGGCACATTGCGAGGTTAAAGCACAGATCACTCTCCTACGAACGAGCTTGTTGTGTCCGTGAAGGGCCACTTTGGCAACAAAGCGAGTAGAATAGCCGCTGTGGACTTTTGGTCTCCATGAAGCCCTCCCCTCCACGCATTAAGGGAGGATTCCACGATAAGGTCGTGGATCGAAGACGGGGAAATATATCTTATGAAGGACCAGGCGAGCCTTTGAAAGGTACGGAACGGTGTGAATGATGTTTCACAGCGACAGGTTTACCAGCGGCCCATCCGGGCCATTCCCGCCCTCCTCGCGTAGCTGCATTGCACCGATTGGCTGAGCCGTTGCCGTCTGACTCTACTCTCGACTTCAGCAGAAAGAACCTAAGCGGTGATGAGGTGAGCACGGATGAGAATCGCGTAGCGCGCAAATCAGCGGGCATAATGGAGGTCCCATTTCTCGGGTTCCGGGCTGTTTTTTTATCGGCTCTTTGACCACGTCTACTTTGTGTTCTAATGGGATGTCTTTTTATCCTAAGCTCCGTCTTTAATGTCTGTCCGCCAGTGCGATATCCGCATCTTGCTTGCACGCAGCTCACTCATCCTTCAAGCATTTTCCAGCGACCATTGTCTCGTAGACTAGTTTCCTGTCTAGAAAATTATGCCCATATTTTCGAGGGTTTTTTTTGGGACTGGCAGCTCACTTCGCATCACAGCTCTTATTTTTGGGCCCAATGACTAGTTTTTGGTAAAAGCGGAACCTGCCTATAATTAGCGCTTGGTGGTCACTACTAATAACCACCAGACTGGACTAACTAGTCATCAGTTCCGAAAATGTATAAGTTGTTAAACTGGTAGGCCCTGTTCCAATCTTACGATTTACCCGGCTAAGTTTCGAAATTGATGATTTAGTGCGTTATATGATATTTAACGATTATCGTGTGTCCCCTGAAAAGCCGTCGTCAATTTGTCGCACACAGTGATGACGCTTTTTGTTTTAGGGACAAACTTCAATTCCCCGCAGTCCATTCGGGTTTTATCAGCGCTTACTCACGCCACTCGTATTTGCATAGGTGTCGATAAAAATGTCGACGCCAGGTGTATGAAACATACGTGAAACTTGGAAAACCACAAGTAGAAATACAAACAAATACTGTCATAGGAATGCCAAACAGCTAAGAAATGCTATCAAGCGGGTGGGAAAGCCCTGAATCACTGCTATTCCATTTATAGTTAAACCTCAGCATACTCCGCGAATCGGTCTTTCTTCAGAATGCGCCATGCGATTGTGATTTTCCTGTGCTTTGATCACTTATTTGACCTGCTTTTTATTTGCTTATCATGCCTCCATCACCGGCGGAATCCCACTGCGCTACCACAACCCAATTTTTTAATGCAAAAAAATGAGTATTCAAAATGAATAACAAATCTGGAGCTGGCACTATACGCTTTACTGCCCCACTCCTCGAGAACTGAGCCGGATTTTTATCGAAATTCGTCCATGACTGTGGATTTGCTAGAAACTTGCCTTTCGCCGGGGTAATTTGACCCGTAGAACACGAATATTACACTCGTTTAGCGCGAAAACGCTTGGCGCCCGCGCCACAGGCGCCGGCGCCAAAAGGCGCCAGAACATCTCGGATCACCAAATTCGCTGGAAACTTGTCCTCAGAGGTATTTTGACCCGTAACATGAATATCACATTAGTTTGTTACGAATGAGCTGTGTAGCCTGCGCTAGGGTACCCGCGCCAAACTGATGTGGTGACGTCGGCGCCTGTGGCGCAGACTCCAGGCATTTCTGCTTCAAACTGGTATAATAATTCATCTTTTGCGGATTGAAATACCTTTGGAGACAGCTCTAGCCTAATCATTAGCCATGGACAAATTTCGATCGATAATCCGGCTTGGTTCTTGAGGAGTGAAGTGGTGAACGGTAAATGGTGCCCGAAATCCTTATAACATCTACCTGACCTAAATGTAGCCTAGTATTTACGACATCCATCATTTATGCTTTTAATTTCAGGAAGTCTACATTCCCAGAAGTGACCTTCTACCGTCTAGAAAGACCTACACCGAGTCGATAACGTCACGTAAAACCATCGGACCCGAAAAGGAACAACAACCTTACAAGGAAAGAAGAGAGGTGACGAGGGAGGAGATCCAAAGGACACCATCATACGGTGTTCATCATGAGACTCGAGAACGACTAGAGCAGGAGAGAGTCGCGCCGTATCGTGAAATGAGGGAAGTTCGGGAGGTTGAACGAACCACCCAATCAAGGACTGAGGATAGAGACAAACGCGAAGAAAAGCCTGTCAGCCCACCTCCGCTTAAAGAGTTTGGCGAGTCAAGACGTCGAGAGGACATGTCGGAAACGGTGACCACGGAAGTTGTACGAAATTTCCCACGTGTGGCTATTCCAAAACCTCGTTCACCGACTCCTCCACGATTGCATAAAAGCACCTTGGAAATTGCTAGGGAAGAACTGCTCGAGGAGAAAAGAAGAAGAGAAAAGAGGCAGAAGGAGAGGGAAGAACAAGAAAGGAAGGAGCAAGAGAAAAGAGAGCAGGAGAAACGGGAGCAAGAGAAACGGGAACAAGAGAGAAGAGAACAAGAGAAAAGGGAACAACAGAAAAGGGAAGAAGAGAGAAGAGAACAAGAGAGAAGAGAACAAGAGCGAAGAGAACACGAGAAAAGAGAAGAAGAGAAAAGGGAACAAGAACGAATTGAGCAAGAAAGGAGGGAACGAGAAAGGAGGGAAAGAGAAGAGTCAACCAGGGAATATAGAGAGACGACGAGGTATGATTACGAGAAAAAGAAAGAAACCGAGGAGACCACAACGACGACGACAACGAAGCCTGCTGAGAGAATGGTGAGTCAATTAATTCATTCAACACTTGATTCTAATGTTGTGGAGTTCTCACCTTGCAAGGTTGTTGCCCTAAGGGTACATACAGGGCAGCAAATGTATGGTGACAAGGGATAGCTATCCGATTTCCAACCAGCATTTCAAGAGGTTATCATCCAGATACGAGGCAGCGAATGGGAGGATTTTTACTGGGAGCTCACAATGTTGGAGTTTTTAGATGTTTCATAGCTTACAGTGCTTTTTTCATTTTAAGTAACTGTCCTTATATAGGATTTACTTCTGAGTACATAGCTAAAACATGTGTTTGTGTTTGCGGAATCTCAATTAGGAGAGTAATAACATTTTTTCAATTCTTCTGCCACTGGCCAGCATGGGTAACGAATAACTTCAGGTTTTTGTTATGTGATACATTTGCACCGAAAAAGCTCAAGTTGGTGGTATATTCACAGAGGAATCCTTCCCAGAAACTGAGTACGAGCTAGGAACCGAAATTCAGATGAAAAATTCAAGGTCCGGCAGAGTTATGCAAAGGATCAGTTTTGTCGTTCTCCACCTGACCGTATTTGTCGAAACGGTAGCTTGATTCTCCCCAACCCTTCTCTGTCACATCTGTTTTGGACTTCTGTCACTAATTCCAGTAGTCTAGTCCTCGACGCGCTAATAGAAGTGGGAAAGGCGAATACAAGTGGCATTCATATCAGCTCCTTGTGACGGTTTATCAGCAACATAACTTTATGATTAATTGTTGAACCTAAGGAATTTTGATTACCAAAAGAATGTAACCGAAGCCAATTGGCGGCGAAAGGCGATCAGAGTGGTGTTTATTGCTTCTGCTTGGTGCCAGTGTGTCTTTTGTGCTAAATTTAAGTGCGTCATTCTGCCAAAAAGAAACGTCTAAAGGCAACACACACGGTGTGGCCGCTGATGTCTACAACTGAAAGCACATTCCACGACAATTTTCTGAAATGTGCTAAGCTATCAAAACGCCACGCAAATCATACCTGGACACCAGGGCTGGCGATGAATGCCACCCTTGCCGCTTCAAATGTTGTCAACGCTGCTTTCGGCAAGAGCTGCATCTATGTCTGCGTTTCTCCTGTCTTTATCTTCCTTCTTTCTCTTTCGGAATTATCGGCTGTTTCTTTTGCTACAATCTTTGATTTCGGACCGCCTTTTGTAGCGTATTGTGTTGTAACCTTAATAACCTTATCCTACAACCTTAATACCTGCTACCTTGGAATGTGCCTTCAAAGTGAAAGATTGTTGGTGAAAGCGGCATGTAATTTTGAAGAAGGAAGTTGATGTTAGCCTGAAAACGGGAGCAAGAAGGTATTCTTCCTATGTGAACTAAACTTAGGATGACTTTCCGGTATGATCATCAACGTCCACAAAGACGATTGAGCACATGTAGAAAATATGACGAAAGCTGGCCAAGTGGATATTTGCTCTAGCCATCGACGGAAACTGTTTGTATTAGTGGCTATGTCGAGGGCCTACGGGACTTTCAGCTGTTGTTTTTCGGAGGGTGGAGGCAAAAAAATTTG